TGGTAATAAGACAAGTGTTTTTGAATTAAAACTTTTGCAGCGGTAAAAAGACTTTGCATGTGTTCGTCCAGGTTTTCAGTGTTTTTTTGTTCTGAAATGCTCAAAAACTCAACTTTTTGAAGCAAAACCATTTTTGTGTTGCATTTCTTAATATAAAAACACATAAATGGTAATGCAGCGCTTTTATCCGCTGTGCATGTGAAAGTTAAAAAAGACGGGTAGGCTTTTTAGTGCTAGCCTGCATTTCGATTATTTAGAGAGGAAAAAAGGAAGAAAAACTGTGAAAAACACATTGATAACAACGTTGTACGTCTGCTTTAGTTGTAATTGCTCAAGCAAAACTCAACAGAAAAAAACATCGTGTAACAGGTTCAACATGACATCCTTTAAATTGGCGTGTATTGCTTAGTTCAATAAAAACGATCAAAAAGAAAAGTATTGGATAGTACTTTACGTACATTTTATAAGTAATTTTATGGTTTTATTTCCTTTTTTGTGTGGGAAAGATATATTATAATTATAGTTATTAATAATTAGAAATATAATTGGTTTTGTTACTATTGTGTGGATAACTTGGAAATTTGGATAATAACAATCCGATGACACACACCATTATTTTATAAACAAAACGTTTATTTTCATAAAGACTCATTGTTAGAGCTGTTTGGCAACTTTTGAAAATACCTAAAAAGTTTAAAATAATAAGTTTAACCGGAAGTTGCCAAAGTCATCATGCTCAACAGCTGTTGTGGATTTGGTTACTTTGAATATCTCAAAGTATTCAATAACAACTTATTTTGATCTATTTTATATGATTGTAATAATGTCAAAAATGCTCAAAAACATAAAAAATGTTAAATTTAATAGTATAACAAATTAAAAATTCAATACAAAAAATATTTGGGAAGTTTTCACAATTAATAAATTTAGTTATGTATTTAATTTATATTATACTAATATATTTATAATAGTATAATTCATATATTAAATGGTTTTGAACAAAATAGTATTTTTATACTGATATATTAAATTAGTAACACAAAAATGTTGATGAGATTATTTATAATAATTAAATTCAAAACTAATCATTATTAAATTATAATAACAATTAAATAAATTATATTTAAATGTTTATGATTCAATATAAGAATGACCATTTTTGAAAACATATCAGAATAATAAACCATAAAAAATATTTGATGTGTTATAAAAAATATTAAAACAAAATTAATAAATTTGAATAAAAGAATATATAAAAACTAAAATTAGAATATAAAAATTGTTCATAAAAATAATTAATAATTTGTTTTCACTTTATTATGACTTCATTTATCAAAGTAAATAATATAGTTTTATATCTAATAAAAATTATATATTTGACCACATCAGAAATAACAATTTGTTAAGTAATTATATTTGACAATTTAACATTAATTATTTATAGTTTTTTTATTAATAATAAAATACAAACTCAATAACAATATAATCAAATCATTGTATCTTTCTCGCAAAGTCACTTATCTGTTTAAATAAAAATAAGAGTGAAAGACTTTGTTCACGAAAAGGTTCGCTTTAATGGACACTGAATTATTGAAAGAGGTTGAAAAAGTTAAAAACAAACAAAAACGTTATTATAATATCATAAAATTGCAATGAGTAGGCGTGTTTGTAGTGGCGTTATAACACAAAAATATTAAGACAACGATGTTTCTAGTGGTCGTTAGAATAACTAAAAAAACACAAACCCGAAGACAAACCTGAACGTCTTATTTTTTGAATTAAAATGTGAATTGAAACTAAATATTATTGTTTATTTTTTTTATAAAATATACAATATGTTAATAAATAGTTTTTTAATTAATGGCATTTTAATTTGTTGATTATTCCTGTCATTTTATGTCTAAATAAGTTAAAATAAA